CATTTTTAACGTGTTAAAATATTTTTCGATCGCACAGGTGAAAGACCGTTCAAATGCGACGCGAAGGATTGCGGCAAATCGTTTACCAGGAACGAAGAGTTGACGAGGCACAAGAGAATCCACACTGGACTTCGTCCACACGCTTGCATAATTTGTGGAAAGTGTTTTGGTAGGAAAGATCACTTGAAGAAGCATATGAGAACACACGAGAATCGTGATCCATATAGGATGTCGGCGGCTACGTTGGGAATGATCGGTTTAGGAAATACTCTACCTCAAAATATGGGATTTTTCCCATATTTCTATCCAACGTGATACATTTATACGAACGAAATTAAAATTTTGATAATATTTCGCATTATATTGAATTGACATTATGCTTTTTCTTTTGTATATTTTGAAGTAGGGTAGTATTTACACATAGGATGTGTAAAAAAAATTGGGGACCAAAAAAAAATAAAATCTTTGGAACAATTATTTCGTGAAAAGAAGCAAAGTTTTCGAGTTGAAAATTTTTTAGATATTATTATAATACATCGAATTCGAGATTAAAATGAGACATTTTGTATATTTCATATACAACGGTTGTATCCGTTAAACATTAATTGTTGCCTTGATTCTTCGTTTTATGAAGAATCATTGAATGTTTGTCAAGATTATTCCTATTTTTGATACTATGTCCTTTTTATCGATACTAGTCGAATATTATATAATGCAATACGAAGGCATTTATACATAGAGATTATAATATATATACTATATTTAACGATAAATAAATTGTTATTTATTTTTGATAATAACTATCTAAACTTTGTTCTTATTTTCAAAATCCACGTCTTCCTTAACTATCTCAATTTATATTAAGAAAACATTTAATACTAGAAAAAGATTTATCTTTACGATTAATCACACGAATCTTTTTAATTAGAAATCTAAATCCTATATTAACAAATCAAAAATCTAAAATTTATCAACTTTAAACTAGTATTTAGTATGAATTATTTTTTTTATTTATCCTCCAAATTCTTTTGTACTTATTTTATATACATGATTTTTTGTCGGTAAAACAATTATCAAAAATCAAATTAAATTATTAAATAAGAAGTATCAAGAAAAAAAATCACATTCTTTTAAAATTTTAAAATATCCATAGATAAATATTAAATAAATCAAACACCAAACGTGTATATTAACATTAAAATAATCAGGGGTGTCACCACCATTTTCCTGACAATTAAATTCAAGATGGCGTCACCAGAACCCCAGAAATTCGAGGATCAAAGGATCCCCATTCTCATAGAGTCATAGGGTCGACTGGCGGTGAAGGGCTGGTACAGGAATCGAGGGTTGCGCCCTTTCGCCTACCGGAAGGGACGGTTACCGCGTGCAAGCCTATCCCTGCCCTCCTTCCGTTTTTTTTCTCCCCTCCCCCCTCTCCCCTTCTTTCCATCGCTTTCGTTGCAATACGTTCTTGCTCCACGACAGCTCGTGGCCGCATACATAAATGTTTTCGGTTGATTTCGGGGTGGGGAAGGTTTCGAGGGGTGGTTGGCCAGATTGCGGGTTGGAAAAAAACTCGAATTCAATTAGTCCTCCCCTCGAGCAGATTATCGGCCGACTATTACATTGTGTTGAGGAAGAAATTCCCCTCTTCTTCTTCCTTTTTGTGTTTAATTTTTTTAAAAAGAAAGGAAGAATTACGACCGAATCAAAACCTTGCTTAATAACTTAATAAATGATAAATCATGATAAATCTCGATATAATCTTTTAATATCAACTTTTGTTGATCCGAATCTGTTCTTTCTGGAATTGATTCTTCGGATACATCAACGTTCCATTCGATATATACCTTATATAAGTGCGTTTAATATCGACGTGCAATGGATTTGTAAAAGAAAGGGAGAAACATAGGGTGAATTGCACCGTAGGAGAGAAGTCATAAGGCCTTACTGTCATATATCAGCGCGTCGGTAGGAGGGTGTCGACGAGCTTGAACGAATGTCTCAGCAGGGTTGCTGGTACCCGTCGTCCAAGCTACCGTGTCCAAACGCAAGAAATTTAATGCACGTATTATCCTAAGCTTACCGAATTTTCCACATTATCGCGCGGATTCAATTTCTTCTGCTAATTGCTGCACTTCTCGGCACTGTAACATATAATCTATTTTATTTTCTTCCTTCCCGCATTTTAATTCTTGATTAACATTTAATAGAGGAAACACGTGTAGACAAAGAAAGAGATAGGATTCATGTACTTAATAATTATGCTGATGATTTTGGTCGTTATTCGTTTTCGCCAAATAAACCTCAAAATCTGACTTTGCCAAAGGGGAAAAGTCGTTTATAGAGTTAAACGTCCCCATGTCAAACGTGAGCCGGATTACAGCGATCCTTGCCCACCTTAATCCCAGATTACGAGAGAAATCCTCTTGCAATGTGATATTAGGATTTTGGAAAATGTATGATTTCTCATTGTGACTTATATATTTCAACAAATTCGAATTGTCTTCGAGCTATTCATTGTTTAAATTTTCTTTTCGTGGTTAACATTTTAACATGTTATATTGAAAAAATGAATACGTTTTTGGTATAAAATTGTGTGTAATGCATTTCATTTTAATATATCATTTGTATACAATATATTTAAATATTTATCATATCTAATGTTAATATCACCCATATTAATATAATAAATGATTATTTTTAATGATGATTTTTAAATTGATAGAACGACTTGCCTCGTTCTGGTTCCTCGTAAACGTTATTACTCAACAAGATTGGAAACACCTTTCAGGAGGTTGTATTCTCTACTCGACACCCCGTGGACGTTTATCCAAAGGAGGTTGCGCAACAGGAAGAACACCCGGCGCGAAGACACCATTGATTCCGTTTCAACGACTCGCGAAAATGGAGCAACACTTGCCGATATGTTTCACTTTATAAGCGATATTTATATTTATCATTTTATTTTAGGAATAATTTTTCTTTAAAAGTTCTTTAAACTGACCAATCAAATCAATCAGGATATTATATTAAATAAGATTCTTTTCAAGTATAATTCAAATTATTATAATATAAATATAAAATCCTCCTTCAATTCCATCGTTTCTTCACTTTATGCGATTCCAAAAGCCTTCGATCTTCCTCTCTCCCCCATGAATTCTTCGATTCACACAGTACGACGTGAAACGTCGTACCCCGGGTGGTCCTGTATATCGGAATGTTTGCCCACGTCATTGTTGCGTCTCTGACACTTCGATGGGCTACCTTTCCCAGTTTAAAAACCGTTTAAGCCCCTAATAGACGTCGATGCATCGTCTTCCTTTCTCGCAGGCAGAAGTTGGCTTCAGGTGGCCGTCGACGAGTATCCTCGTTCTCAACGGGAAGCAAAAACACCCGGGGCGCGTTGACTCGCTGATATATGGATCATGGCTTGCGATCATACGTTCGATCGCGTATGACGGACATTAGGGTGGTTGACTGGTCATTTTCTAAAAGGAAGAAAGACGAGGAAGAGGCGGTTAGAGGAGTTACGAGGAGTCATATTTTGCTATATTACAATGGGGATGAAAAGAAGAAAAATATTTTTGAATTGTGTTGCAATTTTTCAATCCTATTAGATTTTTTTTTTTTAATTCTTTTGCAATAGAGAAATGAAATTCTCTTAGACTCTTAGGTATCTCTTATTATTTGGAATTTGAGTTTTGAATTCATTTCAGAAGAGTGAAAATTCTCCAAATTTTCCCCCTTCCTTCCATTCCTCGTTGAAAAATATTTGTATCTTGAAAAAGAAAAAAAAAATATATAAATATAATAATAAAAATATTAAATCGATTATCCAATCGAAATAAAATATAAAAAGATGATAAAGATATTTTTGTCAGTTACATTTTATTCGATGATTGGTTCTATTTACAAATTATGAGGGAATATGAATGATATGGTATGAATTCACTTCTTCTTTTTCTTCTTAATCGTTTTACTCGGTTTCGGGGTCTTCACCTTCTTCACCACCTCTTCCTTCGCCACCACAGGCTCCAAAGGCTTTTCCCACATCTTTATCTGATCCTCTATCTCCTTTCGCTTCTGCAACGACCAAGGCCTAGCCACCCTGAACTGAAAATCTATATGAATCGCCTTATCACCTACATCGGATGTCTTCTTCATTTTGAACATGAATAAATTCGGATTTTGCTCCTTCTCGTGTTTCTTCTCACTCTTCTCTTTCTCAGAGTTCTCCTCAACGATGTCACCGATCTTCGCCTTCGGATACAGCGTGACCGTCCTACTACCGGGTATCTGGGCCTGTTCGATCTCATCCGCCTCTTCCACTTTGGGTTGCGTATCCTCGACACAGTCGCACGGTGGTTCGTATTCGAGTTTCTTGTACTCCTTCTGGGTTCTGAGCACCACTTTGTTGTTGTTAATCATAACTTCCATTTGCTTGTACGGTAAACCCTTCTCCTCGATATCCGAGCGAAGTTTGCTAGGCCTCTCGAAGTCGTACACACTTGAAGGCTTCACGGGGCAACATGGCGGTGGCTCTTCTATCTTTGGCTGAGGGACGACAGGTTTCAATTGACGTTTCTGGCAGCAGGAGCTTTCGGGGCAATCTGTAGGTTTGGGCGATATCTGCTTGATGGACGATATCTTTTCGGAACCTGCCGTTTCGCAGCAAGGCGAGCACGACGGTTTCGATGGTGGTGGGCATCCGCAATTATAAGTGGCTAACATCATTTTGTTTGTTTCGGGAATTTTTTCGAAAATTCGTGGAGAAGATCGGGCTTAAGAGTAAGAAGGATAAGAAGAAGAAGAAGAAGGAAGTGGCTGAATCAATATGGTGGTGGATTAATCGATGTTTGAGCTTCAAGCTGTAGGGGTTTGCGACATGTTGGATAGGTTGGGATGTACGTTGTGAATGTAACTGATTCTTCCCAAGTCCGAGTGATCTGAACTCGTCTCGAAAAAGATCGATTTTCACTCCATCCCGATCCCATCAACCTCTTCCTCTTTATTTACATCCTCTTATTTACATTAAAGAAAAATAATGTCGAAATTTCAAGTATCAAAGTGGCAAAAGTTATAATTGTTATCTCGAATAATTTTAACTTGTAAAATGTTATTTCAAACGAGATTGGTGAATTAAGTTTTTTAACTCGCGATATTATTTCGATATCAAAATCGTCCAAAGATGTACGTCTGTCCTCCAATGCCACCCGCACCCTGCCCACCGGATTGTCCACCCCCGAAGCCTCGAGATGCCCCAAAGAAATATTTTCGAGAGATTGGAACGGCCATGATCGGGAATCAATTGATAATTCGCGTGGAAAGGCAAAGGGGGAAGGCGAAGAAGTTGAAGGATTGGGATCCTCCGTGTGATTGCGACGTGGAGATAGTAAGGCCGACGAGCAAGGAGGGGCCGAAAATATTAAAGGGTGCCGACAATAATCGGATCCTGTTTCGCGTCGAACGGTCGGACATCTCGAAGGAAGAAAATCAGGATACGGCACAAACCATTTCTTACGAAGTAAGACGCGATATTTATTTATTTATTTATTTTCTTTTTGAACGTAAAATGATAATTCACTTGTTAAACATTTCCACGAACATTTCCTGAAACAAAAACACATAAATTCGATTGGATATTTTTCCAAGTATCGTATAAATTATCGTGTATAAATTTGCTTACAGGTCGGCGAGTGCAAAGGAGGTCCGAAGACGAACGATCAATGCAGAACGTTCACCATTTACCCCGTATTTAACGGTACCGGGGTGCAACAGATACACACGGATCGCGTGACCGAAGGGAATGAGAACGTGTTCATGTTAAGAATGAAAAAGAATAATAATTCGATCGAGCAGCCGAGGAAGAACATAGAACTCGAGGTGAGGACACCGAAACCGCCAATGCCTCCTCCGGAAAAACTGGAAGAACCCTTGGTCGTGGACGAAGATTGCGTGAAACTCGTTACAAAGGAGGAAATACCGCTGATTGAACCGAAGCAAGAAGTAAAAAAAAAGAAAAAGAAGAAGAAGAAGAAATGATTCATATAATTTCTTTCTATTCTTTCAATATTTCCAAATTTTTGAATATTCCTTGGATAAAAGAAAAAAGAAATTGAACTCTTTTCTGAAAATTTTTAAAATTTACCCCTTCTACTTAATTGATGACATATTAATTAATATCATAAATCAAGACAATAGAAATTGAAAAGATCTTATCTTAAGTCACAATTATATAAATCTCATCTTGATTTAAAAGCACTTGACGTTATTTTACTTATCCAAGTATCTCGTGGTACGATGCACATTTAAGGTTTAAAATCTGACCTAAAAAAAAAAAATTCCAAAAATCATGGAAATTTAAAAAAAAAAAGGTTTTGAAGGATCACTTAAAAAAGGTTGATATCACAGTGTCGACACTTAATAGATTGCTACCGCGACGAATTTGCAGGTACACCAACCATTATGGCGGACAATCGAGGTTACTGAACGCTTTCTGAATGAGCTTCCAGTTTAGAATTCATGAATGAAGTTCGCAAAAGCGCGATTCCACGATGCGTAAAAGTGCACGAGTCAGCGTTCCTCATTCATCCATGGCACAAGCATCCGTGGAAAATTGCTTCGTTACGGACAGATGAGTTCGTCTTTCGTGATTTTCTTCCTCGAAGATGACTTTCGTTGAGAAACGAAACGATTGTTGACGAAACTCTTCTCATTGTGACCGTTCGAAACATCCTTGTAATTGGTCCTAACTCTTTCCTTCGTCTGTCATAGCAACGTGATGATCGTTCGCGTGAATGAGGAGGTCTTGCCATTGAGAAATTTTCCGAAGAAACGGAATAGAATTGTTACACGATGATTTTTGTGAATTATTATGAATCCTTATAGGGAGAACTTTTTTTCGAATTCTGTTAAATTTTTCGTTTCGATATCGTGTCTCTGAAATTATTAGATATAATTTTATTCTACGAAAAATGTACGTGTATCTAATAATTATGGGAACAGGGAGTTACAATTTAATTATTATCGAAAGAGGAAATGAAGAAAGATTTATATTTTCCTCAAATTTAAAAAATTTTTTCAACAATAAAGGAACAGGATTGACTCGAAAGTGATCCATGGAAAAGAAAAAAGGTAGCAAGATTAATTTACCATCTTACTATATATGAATGCTACCTACTCGAATGAATCGACAACAGATTGTCCAGTTCCGCCTATATAATCGTTCTTTAGAGGCAACATCGATCGTTTCATTTTTCATCGAACGAAGAGTAAGTCCCACCTACGATATCCGTGATTCCACGATGTTACGCTGAAATATCGTCTTCATTCGGTTGTCCTCCATTGTCTGCCGGCCTCTGTATTTTTTCTTAATTCCCTGACACGAGAAACGGGGCACCGGTGGGCGGGTGGCTTATTCCTGAAAAAAGAGTGAATGGCGTGGTCCAAGTCGAGGTCCATTCGAGCCAGCACCTGACTCTTCGACTTCTTTTTCGATCGTGAGAATCGGTTCGAGCCTCGATTTTTCGGCCTCGATTCGATGTCGTGTCAAGGGAGAGAGGGAAAAAAAAAAAAAAAAAAA